ATTTTGTCATTTTGTTCTTGTATTTTCTTCCAAAATTCTTGAAGGGATTTGTCTGCCTTTTCCTTGGTCTGTCTCTCAATCCTTTGAAGATATCTAAATATAATTCTTTTGAATTCCTTATCAGAGAGTTCCAATGCTGTTTCTTCCTCAGGGATGTGTTCTGGGTCTGTATCTTGCTCCCTTGTTTCTACCAATTTATCTTGCTTCTTTGGGTGGACTGTGATGGTCTGTTGTCTCTGAGACATCGTGGCATTGTTGTATTTAGATCTCTGTTGACTGTTTGTGAAGAGCACCCAAGGGTGAGTCAGGCTCTTCTTGGTGGTTGTTTATCGTTGGCCTGTTGGTGAAGAAGGGAGTGGCAGCACTCATCTTCTAAAGTGTGTCTGATTACACCACTTTCCAGTCTCATGCCCTGCCTTTGTCCTCAGTATAAAGTCCATGCTCCTTATGGAGGCACTTGGCTGGGCCACCTCACTGACCTCTCCCACACAGCTCCCCTACATCACCAGGCTGTAGCCAATTTTTCTCTTTCCCAACCACCACATTCTTTTGGGCATCTTTGAACCCAGCTGTCTTTGACTTCCTGATGTTCACTGTCTAATCCAGGGCTTTGAACCAGTTTGAACTGGTTCAGTCATGACTGACAAAGTTAAACTGGAACAGACTTGAATTTCAAAAATTTTGGTGAAATGTAACAATAGCAAAAATGAGAAAATTTACAGATGGAAGCCCTGGAATGAGAGACTTTAACAGGTGTAGTAAGTAAGCCCTTTCAGGGGCCTGATGCAGAAGACTGGATTACTGCCAGGACTATGGACAGAGACTCACATTAAAAGCACTGTGGTTGGCTGCCATCTTTGCACAGGGCACCACTATTCCCTACCCTTCTGATCAAGAGATTTGGTTGCTATGCAACATGCATGCTGCTCTAGTTTTCTAAGAAGAAGATGAAATTTCTAGCTGGGTGTCAACCTGTAATATTTCCTGTTTCAGTTCATCCACATTTTACAAATTTGGGTCTGTTTCAGCTTCACTTCATCAGCCACAACTGAACCAGGAAGAACCTGTTCAAAGCCTTGGTCTCTTTTAAAGACCTGATTCAAATGTCACACTCTTCAGGGCATCTTCCCTGACATCTCTTAAGAAATGGTGGTGATAGTGATACCAGCAGTTAACATGTACTGTGTCCTAAATCTGCACCAGGCACTGTGCTAAGTGTTTACCTGCGTTTTCCCATTCAATCCTCCCACACCTCTAGGACCAAACCCCCACCCACTGCCATTAAGTCAATCTCAACTCATAGGGACCCTTTAGGACAGAGAACTGCCTGATAGGGTTTCCAAGGCCATGGATATTTATCAAAGCAGACTGCCTCATCTTTCTCCCATGGAGTGGTTGGTGTGTTCAAACCACTGACCTTTTGGTTAGCAGCTGAATGCTTCAACCACTCTGTCACCAGAGCTCCTACACCTCTAGGAACTAGGTATTAATTAATCACATGTTATAGAGGAGATAATGGAGGCACTCTCAGCTAGTAAGTTGTAGAAAGAAACCCAGGCTTATCTTACTCCCAAGTACGGCCTCTTGACCACTTCCTCCTCTAAGTTCTTATGTGGCCTGTTAAGCTTTATTCTTCCAATAAACTTCCACTGACCACTGCGCCAGGCCCTGTGGTGGGTGCTGGGGTTTCAAGGAGGAATACAACTCGATCCCTGACCTTCAGAAGCTCATGCATGGTCCCAGGGAGAAGAACTCAGTGCTCTGAACCGTCAGGTGGGCTATGACAGAAATCCATACAGGTTGCAGAATGGCATGACGGAGGGAGGGCTGGTTTTACTGAAGGGTCTCAGCTCAGTTCCCCAGCCTGGGCTGCCCACTCTTGACCTTTTGGACCCAAATGTAGGCCCCTGGTTCCACCCTGTCCTGTGGCCTCTGCTGGAACTGGATCACCTGGATAGCTGATGCTATCACTGCAGATGACCAGCAGGAGGCCAAAGTCTGCTTGCAAGCCACTGGTATGGTGTTATGTGGGCAGGACAGGCCCAGAGTTTGCACTCAGTCACACAACAGAAAGAACAGCTAGAGTAGCCACCCTCTGTTGAGACTTCTAAGGGTGCCAGGCACCCACTGGGCACTTTATACATAAAACCTCATTCAATCGTCAGGACAAACCACCCTCCAACCCACAGATGGGCAGGAGACTTAAGAGACAGATGTTAAATACTCTGCCTAAAGTTACACACAAAATGTGTGTGACAGCCAGGGTTTGAATCTGGATTTGGCTGCACTTTGACCTTAACCATGATACCACAGTCTGTGCTGTACACATTAAATATTCTTCAGGACAAAGTATAGCCAGGTCTGGAGAGGAAAACTATTGAGTATGAAAATGGAACAAGGGGTCAAAGGACATACACACACACACACACACACACGTACACTGCCCTTCAGCAGGCTGGAAACACACTCAAAGCTCTGGAGGCATGAGGGTTTGGGGCTTCTCTGTTGATCCAAGTGGATGGCTAGCCCTGCTCCATCTGTCTACCCTGGATCCAAAGCTGGCCATGCTAGCTTCAGCCTCCTTCTTCTCTGTACTCTGTCTCTCATCTCCCCCTTCGGTCCCAGGCAACTCTCTTAAGTGCTCTGAGCCTCAGTTTCCCCATCTAAAACTGGTGGGCTGGGTGTAATAATGTCTGCCTTAATAACCTCATAGGAGCTCTGGTGGTGCTGTGGTTAAGGCACTGGACCTGTAACTAAAAGGTTGGAGGTTGGTTCTCTGTGGGAGAAAGATGAGGCAGTCTGTTTCTGTACAGATTTACAGCCTTGGAAACCCTATAGAGGTTCCTATGAGTCAGAATTGACTCAGTGGCAGTGGGTTTGTTTTTTGGTTTTATAACCTCATAGGGCTGCTGTGAAGCTTAAATGGTATAATGATGTGGTGCCTAGAATGCACAAGGAGCCCTGCTGGTGCTATGGTTAAAGCATTGGGCTGCTAACCTAAAGGTGGGCAGTTTGAACCCATCAGCCGCTCCATGGGAGAACGATGAGGCAGTCTGCTTTCCTAAAAATGTACAGCCTTAAAAGTCCTATGGGGCAGTTCTACTCTGTCTTGTAGGGTTGCTGTGAGTCGGAATCAACTTGATGGCAGTGGGTAGAACTAGAAGTTACTCACTACATGTGGGCTTTTGGGTGCTCTGGTGGCGTAGTGCCTAAGGCAGTTGACTACTAACCAGAAGGCTGGCGGTTCAAACCCATCAGCCACTCCTCGGAAGGAAGGTTGGGCAACCTACTTCCATAGTGATATGGCCTCAGAAACCCAAGGATAGGTCGCTATGAGTCAGATCCGACTTGACGGCTGTTCTGGTTACCTAGTGCCTCTCTGACAAGAATATACCACAAATGGGATGGCCTTAACACACAGTTTGTTATTACAATTTGGAGGCTTTCAGTCCAAGTTCAAAGTGCCAGGCTCTAGGGGCTGAGTGAAAGTCCCTCAACCTTGGGGTCCAGCTCTGCCTCCTACTTCTGGCCCACTGGAGCTAGAGGCATTTCTTCACTCAGACAGACGCTGAGGCTGAGAAGCCCCAAGGTTGACAAGTAAAAATGCACAGTCCCGATGTTACCAAACCACACGGCAGGCCATTAACTTGGGTCCATTGTAAGTCCCAGGGTTGGCAGAGCATAGCAGGCTGCTGAGCAACAACACGGCTACATGCAGGGTCCAAGCATGCCATAGGCTGGAGACCATTCCCAAGGCTTCTCCTTATATACAGGAAGCAGACTACATACTGCTTTGGGTCAGCTACTCAGCTGCTTGTGGTAGATCCCCACCATGGAGCTGATGGCCAGTCTCATCATGGGGAATAACTACCACGAGCTGCCCAGCCTCTCAACCAGGCCCAGCCAGGTTGACACACAAACGTAACTACCACAACAGCAATGGGTTTTTGGGTTGTGGGCTTTTACATTATTACATATGTCCCGGGCCCTTAGATTGCCTAAGACCAGAAAAAGGAGCCCTGGTGGTGCAGTGGTTAAGCACTCAGCTGCTAACCTAAAGGCTGGCGGTGCTCCAAGGGAGAAAGATGTGGCAGTCTGCTTCTGTAAAGATTAAAGAAAATACCAAACTCACTGTCCTCAAGTGGAACCCAACTCATAGTGACCCCTCCTTGGGTTTCCGAGGCGATATCCGTACAGAAGCAGATTGCTCAACCTTCCTTCTGAGGAGTGGCTGGTGGGTTTGAACCCCCAGCCTTCTGGTTAGCAGTCAAATGCTTTAGGCACTATGCTAAGAAAGATTATAGCCTTGGAAATCCTATGGGGCGTTCTATTGGTCCTATAAGATCACTATGTGTTGAAATGACTCCACAGCAATGGGTTAAGCCCAGGAAGAGATGCTGGGGCAATTTTGGGATCAATCACCGGAAGGTTGGGGATATTTTACACCCTGAAAGCCACCTTATTATTTCCAGTTGGGGGTGGGGAGCTAAGAAAAAAAAAAAAAAATGGTGACTTGCTAATGATACAACAAGGCCGGGCTAAGCCAGAGCTGCATTCCGCCTCTGTGCCCCCAGGCCTGAAAGCAGATTTCTCCACCTGCAGCCTGAGTGAGGGGAGGGGACTATGAAGAAGGACAGGGCAATGAAGAGGGGAGTGCTTTAAGAGACCTTCACAAACCAAACAAAACTCACTGCATCCTATCTATTCTGGCTAATAACTACCCTCATAAAGTGTCCCAAGGCTGTAAATCTTTATAGGAGCTCTGGTGGTGTAGTGCCTAAGGCACTTGACTGCTAACCAGAAGGCTGGCGGTTCAAACCCACCAGCCACTCCTTGGAAAGAAGGTTGGGCAATCTATTTCTGTAGTGATACTGCCTCGGATCTCAGAAACTCAAGGAGGGGCCACTGTGAGTGGGTCCCACTCGAGGCCAGTAAGTTTGATTTTTTTTTTTTGGTAAATCTTTACGCAAGCAGACAGCCTCATCTTTCTTCCGCACAGCGACTGGTGGGTTCCAACCTCAGACCTTTCGGTTAGCAGCCAAACGCCTTAACCACAGCCCACCACCAGGGCTCCAAAGTCTAAGAAGTATTTTATAAATAAGTATTTTATAAAGAAATGCAGTGGCTTTTAAAACTACTATTTTCTTCTTTTTTTTTTTTTTTTTTCAGTTCACCTGAAGAAGGGAGGAACCTGAATCTGGTTCCTCCGGACCGGAATTTCAAACTGTTAGGCAGGAAGGTAGAACAAGGGAGGCCCGCCGCCCCGACTCAAAACTAGTGGGCGCACAGGGCCGATTCGCACCCAGCTACTGCGGCGGCCGGTGCCCAGGGGTCCCGACCCTCGCCCTCGTCACGGGAGCCCCGGGTCGCCCCGCTGCGCCGCGCCCTCCCCACGCCGCGCCTTTACCTTGACCTGGAGCGGACTGCAGCAGGCACAGCAGCAGGGGGGCCCACTGCCGGGCCCCCGCCATGTCAGCCTTTCCGCGGCCCACGGCTGGGGCACAGGTCCCCGCCTCCGGTCTCCGCGCCCACTGTCCGGGAAAGTGACACGGCCCTGCAGGCAGCCAATAGGAGGCCGGGGGGTGGGCTCGCCCGGCACCAGTCGGGACTCCCTGGGGGCGGGGGGATTTCTCAGGGCAGCCGGGACGCTGGGGAGAGAAAGGCAGGCAGCGGCTCTGTCTTGCAGCCTCCTCTGGCTCAAAAAGCGTCCGTAGCTCCCCAGGAATTGCTCCACAGTTTTCTCTGTGTATTTCTTCCATCTCCTTTTGATACTTCCTGCATGTTTCAGTATTTGCCCATAGACTCTTTCAATATTGCAATTTGAGGCTTGATTTTTTTTTCCTTCAGTTCTTTCAGCTTCAGAAATGCCCAACTTTGTTCTTCCCTTTTGGTTTTTTCCCCTTGCACATTTCATTATAATTCTTAACTTTGTCTTCTTCAGCGGCCCTTTGAATCTTATGTTCCGCTCTTTTACTTCATCATTTCTTCCATTAGCTTTGTCTATGGGGCAGTCTGCTCCCGTAAAGATTATAGCCTTGGAAACTCTATGGGGCATTCTTGTCCATTGTATAGGATCACTATTAGTTGGAATCACATCAAGAGCAAGTTTTAGAGTCACTTCTGACATCCATTTTGGTCTTTTCGTTCTCTTCTGTCTTTTTAATGACCTTTTGCTTTCTTTGTGTATGATGTCCTTGATGCCATCCCACACCTCGTGTGGTGTTTGGTCGTTAGTGTTCAATACATCCAGTCTGTTCTTGAGATGGTCTCTAAATTCAAGTAGGATAGACTCAAGCTTGTACTTCAGGAATAGATTCGATGTTGGTGGAGAATTTTAAATATACCACGGACTGCCAGAAGAACAGACAAATCTGTCTGGAAGGAAGTACAGCCAGAATGCTCCTTAGAAGCAAAGATGGTGAGATTCCATCTCACGTACTTTGGACATATTATTAGAAGGGACCAGACCCTGGAGAAGGACATCATGCTTAGTAGAGGGTCAGAGAAAAAGAAGAGGACTCTCAATGAGATGGATTGACACAATGGCTGCAACAATGAGGTCAACATAGCCACAGTGGTGAGGATGGTGCAGGACTGGGCAGTGCTTTGTTCTGTTGTCTAAGGGGTCACTACGAGTCAGAACTGGCTCGACAGCACCTAGCAACAACAGCCCAACATGGTCTCCTTCTCACGGACTTGTTTTCATTTTCTTCAGTGATCTTTTATTAAATACGTTATTTTTTGGTCCTTACACAATTCTTGAAGGATGAGTCCCTAGCTGGTACCAATCGTTTACCAGCTCAGCTGCCAACCCAAAATGTTGATGATTAGAGTCCTCCTAGCTCTGGTGCCCTAGTGCCCAAGGTACTTGACTGCTGACCAGAAGACTGGTGGTTCAAACCCACCAGCCACTCCTTGGAAGGAAGACTGGGCAATCTACTTCCGCAGAGATACCACCTTGGAAACCCAAGGAGGGGTCGCTATGAGTCGGATCCAACTCAACGGCAGTGAGTTTGTTTTTTTTGGTTTAGAGGTGCCTTGGAAGAGAGGCCTGGGGATCTACTTTGGAAAAATCAGTCACTGAAAACTCTGTGGAGCACAGTCCTACTCAGACACACGTGGGGTTACCGTGAGTCAGAATATACTCCATGGCTACTGTTACTATCATCATTACTTTTATACAGATGCAAAAATGTGTTCTGAGAGCCCAGGGAGCTTGTGCAGCTGGCAGATGCGGAATTCTGCATTCAGTTGCAGGACTGGCTGACTCCCAGGCCACAAGTCTCAGGAAAACTGCTTTGTTCTCTCTGGAAGTCTCAGTGACCAAGCCCATGAACTGGAATCTGCATGGGGCAGAGAGAATCCTGAGGCTTGGCTCTGCTGAGATGATAACTCTCAGCTTGGATCTGAGCACTTCTAGGAGAGAGAATGCACTTTCACAGAGCCGGGCAGAGCCTAAAGTTGCTGAGTTTGGCCCCAGGCACAGGGGTTCCACACTTTCAGGATGGTCCCGGGATGTGCAGCATGGCCCAGCCCCGATGATGGGTAGAGGTTGCATTCCATTCCATCAGCAGCACTTCTGAACAGCTGCTCACAGAGGGGGCATTCTATCCTCCCGTGGAAGATGGAAGAGGCCTCTAGTGGGAAGTACACCGAATACTTCAAATCTTCTCTAAAATTGTGACTTCAATTCTACCAAGTGCCTGCAGCTCTTCTGGATGGGGAATCCCACTGAGCTGGGAGCAGCTGGGCGAAGAGGACAGAGGGGTCTTCTTCATGTGCCCCCTCGTTCACCCATTCAGCTCATGTAATGTGAATCTGAATCTGACATCTGCACTTTTTGACAGAATCGGCTGCATGTTTGTTTTCCCTCTCCTCCTTGCCTTCAAGTTAGAAGTGTCCAGATGTCTTGGTGCAGCAATATGAAGGGGCATTTTGTGACCACATGCTCGAACAAGTCGGGCCTCTCAAAACCTTAATGAGAAGTCCTTCATCTGTGGATTGTAAGAACAAATACAAATCAAAAATACAATAGTCCCCCCTTACCTGTGGTTTCACTTTCCATGGTTTCAGTTAACAACTGAGGTCCAAAAACTATTAAATGGAAAATCCCAGAAATAAACAATTCATAAGTTTTAAAATATGTGCCATTTTGAGCAGCATGATGAAATCTTATGCTGTCCTGCTCTGTCCCAACCAGCATGTCAGGATGTGTAAAGGAGAAACTCATCAAGCCTTTTTTTTTTTTAACTTTTATTGTGGTGAAAACATATACAACAAGGCATTGGCTACATAACAACTTCCCCATTTACAGCTCAGGGACATTGCTGACATTTTTCATGTTGTGCTACCATTATTGCTATTCTAAAATATTCTACCACCATTAGCATAAACTCAGTGCCCCACAAACAAAAGCTTCCCCTTTCCCCCTCACTCCTACCCCTGGTAACCACTAATAA